TCTATATGCCTCTACGTGGATTTACACTGCATTTAGACCTGTTCTCTTGTCTGCGCTGTTACAAGTAGCCTACTTAATAGCTTATAACATAGAAAGAATAAACACTTTACTTATTTTAAAGTAAACTATTAACTCTACCTAACATTTTATAGTTAGACCTAATATAGATTAGTCTTAGAAGGGTTCTAAAAATACACTTAAAGTAGTATATAATTTTTGTAACAGCACAGGCAAGACAATATGTCTAAATGCTGTGGGAATCCACTTAGAGGCATATAGAAGTGCGTGGGGACTTAGAACCTAGGAATTTCCATTAACACCTATAGGCCTTGTACAAAGGATATTAGAAAACTACTAAGCTAGCTATAAAAGCAAGGTGCAACTAAATACATAGAGGAAATAAAGGTAACAGCAGGGGGCAGAGCAGAGTTAGGGCTAGGTTAAGTTAGGGTTAAGCTAGGGTTAGAGCTAATACAGAGACTCTTTAGATAAGTTATAGGCAACCTAAGATAAAACAAGAATTGTTACACTACCCCCCCCTCTGTAGACTAATAGTCCTTATTAATAATTAGAGTAGAAAATATTACTATTACTTTTTTTATTCTTAAACTAAACTAAGTCTAATTTAGCTAGGTGTTCTTACTCTAAGTATTTCTTTACACTGCTAGTAGTGTTCTCTAAACTAAACACTACACGTGCGGTTATTAGTTATTAAAGTAGTAAGTGTAATTTATTAATTAAAAATAATTTAAATAAAATAATAAAGTTTTTTATATAAGTTCTTCTTTCTAGATTATACACTGTAAGGTAGGCTACTATAGCTTTAAAAGAATTTGCCTAGGTATGTTTAAAACAATAGTTTAGTACTTATAAGCTAAAAGAAAGCTTCTTTTATAGGTAGAAAAACTAATCTAACTAAAATACTTTTTTTTTAATAGCTACACTAATAAAGCGCGCTTTAAATGTAGGAAATGCTTTCTCTTTATCTATTCTAAAAGTCTAAAATGCTTATTATGCTTTAGTCTTTTTTAACTAGTAATAAAATAAGCCTATAAAAGCTTTATAATATTTTCTACACTTTTAAACTAAAACTAGTCTAATTTAGCTAGGTATCTAGGCTCTAGATAATCCTTTATAATACTAGCTATGTGTCCCTATATTAATGCTATGCGTGCGCGCTTACTCTAATAGTAATTTAAATTAATATTAAGTCTATCTATAATAAAGGCTTACTATTATTTAAATATAAGTTTTTTACTATCTATAAAGATCTTAATCTTAGATGTGTGTTTAGTAAAGTAGATTTACTAAGTTTAAAAAGTGCCTAAAAGGTCTTTTACACTTAGAGTAGTAAGAGTAGTATAAGGTATTATTAGGGGTAATTTAGTAGTTAGTAAGGGTTAACTAGTAGTTTTTAGCTAGATTAGCTACTTAAGCTATGCTTATAATTAAATAATCTAATTATTAATAAATATACTGCTAAAGGTTAACTCTAAATTAGGTAAAAGTATAGATTTAGGTGCTGCAGAAGCAGGTTTAGCTATTAACATAGATTATTAATTAACTCTAAAGGGCTTGCCTTAGCTAGAGCGTATTTTAATTCTAGAATTAAAAAGTAGTTTGTTAAATATTAGCAGTTGCCTTTAATTTTAATAAGTTATTAGTAGTCTTTAAGTTTCTACTTTAGTGCACCTTTTATAACTTTTTTAAAAGTAATTTTAATTATAAAGAATAGAAAGTTTTAAACCTAAAGGCTTTAGTTAATAAAAGGTCTCTAGGATTCTATTTATAGACTAAATAGTTTAATATAATAGTGTGTAAGTATTATAACTTAAACTAAATTAAACATATCTTAGAGCTTAGATATAGTTAAATAAATAATTAGTGTAATATTATAATAAAGCTGTTACTAGTAAAGGTACGTTTTTTAATATAATGTAACAGCATAGGCAAGATAATAGGTCTAAATGCAGTAGGAATCCACTTAGAGGCATATAGAAGTGCGTGGGGACTTAGAACCTAGGAATTTCCATTAACACCTATAGGCCTTGTACAAAGAATATTAGAAAACTACTAAGCTAGCTATAGGGGCAAGGTGCGACTAAATACATAGGGGAAATAGGGGTAACAGCAGGGGGCAGGGCAGAGTTGGGGCTAGGTCGAGTCAGGGTCGAGCCAGGGTCAGAGCCAATACAGGGACCCTTTGGATAGGTTCTGGGCGACCCGAGATGGAACGAGAATCGTTACAATTCTAGTGCACTTTAACCTACCTCTGTGTTAGTACCTTAGTCTACTATAGTTACTTATAGATAACTTAGCAAAGCACTTGCTCTTAAAAGACATGTAACTCTTAGCAGCTATTATAATTAACGTACTTCACAGGCAAGTTGCTCACACACCTAAGTTGCTTACTTTTACTAAGACCCTACTAAACTACCTTTTCTACACTAATGCATTCCCTATAACACTACTTAGACGTGCTAAAAGAATGTTAGATATAGCTTACACTCTAAGCTTTTAAACAAGACATAAAACTCTTAAAAAAATATGCTATAGCTATATATAAAGTTCTATAAAAAATAATAAATAACTATAGCACTAGATAACCTTTATAAGCTAATTCTATAGCTAAATTATAAAAGCTAGGTAATAAAAAGAAGTAGGTAATTATTAAGACTATACTTAAGCTATATGCGCAAGAAATTTCCCCTTAAATAGCATTTATAGCTAATATAGCTAATTTTTTACGCGCTAAGCATAATCTAGGCTATGTTTATATAAACTAGCCTAGTATGTTTATAAAGTGTTATTTAAAGCTTAAAGTAAAGTTTTAAGTATAAGTATAGTTAAAAAATATTTAGCTAATTATAAACCTTATCTTACTAAAGTTATACATGTTATTATCTTAAATGCTATACTTAGCTTTAATATTTTTTATAAGGCTAAACCTGCTCTAAATTACTCTAGAACTTTTATAAAAAGCTTTTTTATAGTTATACTTATACTTAAATATTACTTTAAGCTTTAAATAACACTTTATAAACATACTAGGCTAGTTTATGTAAACATAGCCTAGATTACACTTAGCGTATAAAGAATTAGCTATATTAGCTATAAATGCTATTTAAGAGGAAATTCTTTACGCATATAGCTTAAGTATAGTCTTAATAATTACCTGCTTCTTTTTATTACCTAGCTTTTATAATTTAGCTATAGAATTAGCTTATAAAGGTTATTTAGCGCTATAGTTATTTATTATCTTTTATAAGACTTTATATATAGCTATAGCACATTTCTTTAAGAGTTTTATGTCTTATTTAAAAGCTTAGAGTGTAAGCTGTATCTAACATTCTTTTAGCACATCTAAGTAGTGTTATAGGGAATGCATTAGTGTAAAAAGGGTAGTTTAGTAGGGTCTTAGCAAAAGTAAGCAACTTAGGTGTGTAAGCAACTCGCCTGTGAAGTACGTTATAGTAAACTAAAAAAATATAAAAATAATTATTCTATTCTTACAGTATAAAAAATAGAGGTGAAATAATAAAAATATAAAAAAATTAAATATAAATAATTACAACTTAGATACTTTTTATTTTAAGCTTAAATAAGTATAACTTATTAAGCATTAACTTATTACATTTATTTAAAAGAAAATACTTTTAAGTTCCTACTATTCTATGTTTAAAAGGCATTAGAATCTAATTAAATTCTTTACTTAATGTAAGTGTATAAGGGTTTTTATTTTTTAACTTAGTAACTACTAAGTTTAGTGTGTCTAACCGTTAGTTACAGAGCCTTTTAGAGGCTGTATAGTACAGTTACAGAAGAGTCAGCTATTACTAACTAACTGTACAGAGGAGATAACGTTAGTATACAGTTTAGATACAGTAACTAAAGTATTATAAAGTAATTGCGCTAAAGCTAAAGACTATACCTAATTAGGAAGTTATAATACCCCTTGTAAGATCTACAGTTGTTAATCTTACTAGTAATAGTAATGTTATGTAACTAATTCTTCTGCAGTTAAGAAGCCTCTATTATTAACACTAATAGTTAATTCCTTCTTATTATAATAGTCTTCTTAGCCTGTAAGAAGCACCGCTTGCACTTACATAAAGTTGCTAGGATTAATAGGAAATTAAGGGCAATGTTAATCTTAAAGGTAATTTTAATATTATAGCAGGCATTATTTAGGTGCTCCTTAGCCTGGGTATCTTGCATATGCTTTAAAGGAGTTGCTTCACGCGAGGACAGCCTAGATAGGCTAGGTAAGGCTATGCAAGCCTTCTCTAAGCGTTGGGATGAGGCATGTGAGGATGAGGCCTGTAAGAATAGGGCCTACAAGGTGGTAACACACTAAGATAACTGCGTTATTAATTAGAATAGAAATTAGGACATTATAATAGGCAAAAGAATAAGGTAGATAGCATAGTTGCTAAATTTGTTAGAAGATTGCTAACAAAACAGGCACTAACAGCATTCTCCGCATTAATCTCTAAACACAAGCCCTCTGGCCCTTAGCAACCTGCCTTTAACCGCCTAAAACCACTAAAAATCTTATATAACTACTGTAAACAGTTAGTACAGCAGCCTCATGTATAGTACAGTATACTAAGTAGATGCCCTGTACGTACGTACGTGACCAAAATCGGTGTACTGCAGTACTGTACTATTAGGTGTACTAACGGTTGGACACACTGACTAAGTTTTTGTTTTAATGCTTTTATGTTTCTATCTAGCATTTACTTTTTAAAGTTATAGTTAAAAGTTTTTAAGACTAAATCTAAGTTCCTATTTATTAGTATATTTGCCTATAACTATATGTAAATTAATAGTAGAAGTATTGAAAACTGCTCTTTTATTATTATGAACTTAGGCTGCTAAAATTGTATTATTAGCATTAAATAGCATCATTGAAAAGATTCCGGGGCTCGAGAAATTTTTTAAGTTGATAAAGACAGAGATGAGAAATGATCACATAACGAGTCACGACTTCTGGGGCGGGTAAAATAAGTAAGATTAGAGGTACAAGCTACTACACAGAAGCGTAAAAAGATGCATACAAAGAATTGAAACAACCTCACCACCTCCAAATAGCCCAACTGCCCCTTAGATGTGTTAACCCAAGTTTCCTCGACATTGAACGTGACCGAATTGAATTATGCCGAATTCTCTACACGAATGTGCGCACCCTCAAAGCCTTCGAATTCGTGCTAGGGATAAAGGGAACGGCAGCTGGTTGGCAAACAGTGTCGGGCTCGGGGAGCGTACCCTCTGCCATGTAAGCCTGAACATATTTTGTTGTGCAGTCCGATCCTGTTGCGAGAAAACCGTGACCGGGAGAGTCTTGGGTTAGGACTACCGATCCCTCGAACAGTGCTGACATCTTGTAGGCACTAACACATATTAGCATTTTCTCGATAGAGAACGTGGTGTAAAGATTTGAGAACATACCTGGAAAGGGGTGTAACAGGGTCACCAGTTGTTCCAATGAACAGAATTGGGAAGCTCGTGTTTGTGCATTTGAAACCTTTGGCATATCAGCACCGAGAAACACCCCGCAACACAGTACTAAGAAAAAACATACCTGGGAATATCTGACTCGGGGGTGGAGTAATGCTCATGCCAACGCAGAGACGGCCGTTGTTCAATGCAGTTGTCTTCCCGCCGTAGAAGCTCTTTCCCATGTAAGTGTCTACTACCTCTTCAAACTGTTCAACGCTTGTAACATTGAATCGGGTGTTGGCATCGACACAAGTAATCAGACCAAGGGCTTCCTGCGACGAATAATTTGCATTTTTAGCATATGCTCCATATGCAGAGGTCATTGCGGACGGAGCTGCGTTGGCCTCCATGAACACGGTCCCGTTACCCTGCTCTAGTGCAGCAGCGACAGTAGCCAGTAGGGGAAATCCAGTCAGCGGGCCATACAGAGTGCTGCTAAAAGCCCAGCTTGAGAAGGCAGTTTGTGTAATAACCGAAGGCGCGCCAAACTTAGGATCGGTAACCGTGATGGGGCTATCTTCAAGCGATTGCAACAGATTCCTGTATCGTTCTTCAATCTCCTCAATGGAAGTGGAGTTGCCATAGAATGCGCAGAGTTCCGGGCCAGCGTTGAAACAGTCCTTGAAAAAGAAGTGGAAGGCATCGTCTGTGTCATCTACATCCGAGGGTACGAGACCAGTATAATGTTCAACGCCGAAAACATTCCCATCCAAGATCATTCTGCCAACACGGTCGGGGAAGAGTGCAGCAAAGGTTTGACCAAGAACCGTTCCGTAACTCACGCCGTAATACCAAAGTTTCGCTTCGTTTCCTGGATGACCATACTGGATGTTTTGGAGTTCGATGAAGTGGAGCATGTCTTGCGCGACCGCCGCTGTTCCTCCATACTTCGCTTGAGTATCTTTATTCGCTGCTGAACACCATTCTCCATATGCCTTCGCGCTCTGGAAAAGCTCAGGCAATGGAGCAGTCGTGCTCGCTCCCGTGTACTGAGCTCGAGCTTCCGGCGCCCCGGGGAAACAAGTCATGGCTGGGCCACTGTTGTTAACACCTCGAGGATCAAAGCTCACAATGTTATATTGTGTGCCGAGAGTTTGTTGAAGCGTTTCACCCCCTCCAACCACATATTGTACCCCAGATGATCCAGGGCCACCTACAGCACCATATTAGTCACTGAGAAAGTCTCGCTGTAGCTTAAATCTAACCTGGGTTGAAGAGAATGTCCTGGGCAGATTCGTTTGAAGAAGAATACTTGATAAAAGCAATATTTGTAGTCCCGGCACTGGCATCGGCGTAGTCTAAAGGAACCTCGAGGTTTGTGCACGCGTAGCCCTCAAAACAAGGTGTCCAGTTGATATTAGGCGATGGCGTAAGCTAAATTATAAATCAGTCAAAGGGGGTAATCGAGAATAGGACAGTACTAGCCTCCGCAAAGTCATATATCATTGTCGTGGTGTTCTCTTCCCGCCTTGACCAAGGATGTGCAGAGACGACTGAAGCCAGAAGCCCGGCAAGGGTGAACGAAGATATAGGACTCATAACGAATTTAGAAGGAAAAAGTATGCTCTAAAAAATGCTTTGGAAAATGACGACCGGAATGAAGTTGTAGATATGAGAAGAATGCGGAATAGTGAGCCATTTGGTAGCTCACGATGAGCTCTCTTATACACATCTGCTCCATTATCATACGCTAAGAGCACTGCGGAGACGTGCGCGATAGACTGCCCACCTTCAGAATGAGGACAATGGGGTTGAAGTAATCAGCGCACTATCGTCGTGACTTACGATACCTTCCGAGTAGACTTGCAGGTGCCAAGGCCAACATTGAGCACTTGATAGTTAACGAGAACGAAGGAGAATTATCTGAAACAAGCGAAAAGTAGGTTTACCTATTATCATCTTCGTGGGCGTTGGCACATTCACTTTTTCGGGTTAGGTAAGGTCCCACAAAGTCGGCGATCTCGGTTCCTTTGCCCTACGATGAGGCGGAGCATGCAGCGGCGGTGCACAGGTTAGATGACATCAGCTCTCCACCACTATCAGCTTTCGCCAAAAAATAGAATGACACATGGCAACCTGGGAGTCGGAGATTTGTTAGGGCATTTGCAACGACCAATTAACGCCGAGAAATGGTCCAAGACGATCTAGTGTTGATCGTATTTACTCCGCTTCATCTTCGATTTCCAACTTTCCGACGGTAACCCTTTTTCCCCTTCATATCTGCGTAATTTTTGTGATTGTGGTAATTCTTAACCCTTTCCCTTACGTACCTAAGGCCTCTTACAGGTGCTGCAGCCTCCTGATCATTTCGGACGCGACCAAGGCGCTTGAGCAGGGGCGAAGGGGCGGACTTATGTCAACCTCATCACCAGCCCGAACGAAGTAGAACAGGCCTAAGCGGTGAATATGTGATTGGTCCCTTGGAGGCCGCACAACACGATGCGTTGTCGATTTCAGGTATCCGGCTGACCAAAAGTCAAGAGTGTTGCCGACATTACAGATGATGCCATTATCGACGGGCGGTACATATTTCCACTCTCCTGATAGCGTCTTCAGCTGTAATCCTGCGATTTTCTGGCTCCACGGCAACGTCAGACTTCCGAAGTCATTGTGAGCACGCGACCATGTGTTCTCCACCTTCCTATCATCCTCAGGAGAGCGCAGCCAGTAGATCATGTAACGAAGGAAGTCCTCGGACTTTTCTTCATACAGATGCTATTTAGAGAAGTAACCTTCCGGAAGCTCAAGGGTAATAGAGGAAAGTGTGAAGACCTTTGCCGCAAGTTCCAGTGATCGTTGAGAAAAGTTCTCGATGTCGGCCCGGTACTGGTGAAAGAAAGGATAGAAAGGTTCATTTTCATATGCTGAGATGAATTTAGGTATGTTTGCTGATTCCACATTGTCCAAGTCATCCATTCTCATAACCTTCTTCTCATGTGCCTGGTCACTGTGTTAGTAAAGAGCAAGAAAGCAGGTCTAGCCACCCAAGACACCCGGCGGCTTACTGCACGATACCCAAAATAGTTGCCTTGGGCAAAATTGCATCGATATTTCGGATCCCCCTTGTCCTCAAGTGGTAGATTGAAGTTTCCTTGGCCAATATCATACTGTCGCTCGACGGTACCCGCTGCTACGCGAAAGGTTCTAGATGAAAATCCGGGCTGCTTGAACTTTACCATTTCGAGTAGCCCGCTTCATGACGTGCTCGCGAAATTCCCCTATGGCCGTCCTCGAAGTACTGGGGCAGTTTAGCGAGGATGGAAGAATAGTAACTGGACTGCGCGCTTCTCCGCTCTAGCAATCGATCCTCCGGGTTCCTTTCATAAACACCGACGATAATTCGTCGAACTCGTTTCCTAGAATCGGCCATACCACTATGAGCTAAGTCGAGGAGTCACAGGAGGTACCTTGTTCTACACCGTCGCACACGAGTCTTGAATCCAAGGCAACATTGAAATTGGCCTAGCGGAAAGTCGATAAACGCCCAGCGTTCCCAACCGTACGTACTACGACTCGTAGATACGTGAACGTAGCAGTCACGTGAGCCGTTGAAACGTAGGAGGAGTGTGAGCCGTAACGTACGTAGGAGCCAGCTCCCATTACGGACCGTAATACGTCTCGGAGAGACGATATTTCCTAGTAATATGAGGTCTTATTGGACAGCTATGGGGACGCGTTGGGAGGGTGTTTGAAGTCGTGTTTTTAGAGTAACAATTAGGTAAAAACTCTGCAGTTTGTACAACAATTAAGGATCTAGCAGAGGAGGGGATTAAGGTGTGGGATCCTATGATTTTAGTTAACCTTTTGCCCTTAATATTGTCCTTAAATCATAATTGCCCACAGACTCACCCATTATGAGCCAGATGTCCTAGTTCCTCTAGCGTGGCAGGCGTACAGCCTTATTCTAAGGATCCTCTTAAGCTAGCTCTTCCCACTAAACTAGGGTTGCTTATTACGCTAGTTCTTGTTAACTTGCCTAATTAAGGTCCTTATTAGAGTCCTTAGTCTTCTCTTATAATAGCACGCTATCTAACAGTTTCTTAGCCCTTATAAAGGAGTACCTAGACTCTATTTAAAGCAGCTTGTAAGGTTGCAGGCTTGTTATATATTGTCTTTTATAGTGTTTAGCAGGAGGAAGCTCTACAGGCAGTAGTTGTTAACTAGGTGATACTTTACAATATTTCCTTCTATATAGCATTGTTAGCAGAACTTTAGGGCATTATTACCTAGAACAGAGCTAATCTTCTTGCCGCCCTCCTAGCGTCTAACACTACATATTTGTCCTACGTGCAGCAGGGATATACGCAGCGGAAGCAGGAGATTTAAACAATGCTAAGAATAGCCTAGAGCAAAATTACGTTAAGCGTTAATATATAGACTTCTCTAAACTACTAAGTTGCTTACATACTAGAAGAAGTTTATTATTAAGCCACCTATATTTTATTACTGCGTAGCAATAATTTTAAACCCTTAACTTTGTCTTATTTAGTTTAAGGACTACTAGAGAAAGCACCCTACATAGCATAAAAAAGCTAAGGCTTTAATAAAGGCTGTTCTAGAAGCCCACGCAACGCAAGTTACCTAGTAGCGACTATTATAATAAGAGCTTTAAAAGGACTCTCTCTGTTAACATAAGCCTCCTTACTAGCAGCTGCTTATATGAAAAGCAGCGGAAAACAACAGAGTTGCAGCAGTACTACAACAGCTACTGCAAAGACGTTACTATAGCTAATAATAACAGCCCTTTGTTTGCTAACTCTCTTACTTAGTAGAAACAAGTTAGACAACTCTCTTACCCTACACTATATAAAATTGCCCTTAACTTCTTGTCTATCCCTTCTATAAGCTGCAATTATAAGAGGTCCTTTTTTAGGGGTAAAAGAACTGTTACCTGCAACAGAAATAAGCTTTCTAGCTTAATAATTAAGGCTCTCTAACTGCAGAAAAACTAGCTCTAGTAAGGTTGTATTTACAGTAAAATAGGGGACTTAGCAGACTGTATACGCTGTAACATCTCGCAAGCTGTTAAAACGTAGGAGGATTGTAAGCTGTAACAGTTACGCCCTGTAAGTGGATTTAAATTCTCCCTTTAAGTTGAAACGTACTAACAAACTAAGAAGTTACGGCCTAAAAAACGGCGAGTTGAAACGTATTACGTACGGTTGGGAACGCTGTAAACGTCCTCTTCCGTGGTACGCCTTCGTCGACCTCATCATACGTATCCATGTCGGAAATATCTCTAATTCGGCAATCGTCCATCTCCAGGAGGGAACTGGCATTCGGAAGCAGCGTGGAAATCCGTCGCACCCACAGTAGGTATGGGCATTACGCATTTCATACTCCCCTATATGTGTTTTCGAACCATTATCGACGTTGGTATTGATACATATCAGCCAAAAGTGTCTAGATGAGTCGAATCACACTGATATGGGGTATATTTTTGATGTGCCAGGGAGCGACGCAGAATTATGCAGGATCCTGGCTTGTTGGTTTCTCCTTGGAGCAGCTGAGGCTAGATTTTATCCTGGTACCCTCTACCATTTCAGTTCCTGGTATCCAACAGATCAGATGCCCTCAGATTCGTGTTCTTTTATGCTTGCGGTATGTCCTCTGGAACAGCCAGCGGGTTGTTAGCATACGTGATACCTTTCATGAATAGCTTTGAAGGATTGGCGGGTTGGAGATGGGTGTACGTTTTCCAGTAATCTTCTACCTAACACACACCAATGTTCCCCAGCTCTCTCTTCTCGAAGGAATTCTCGCTATTCTCTGCGCAGTCTATGCTTGATTCTTCTTCCTGAATTCTCTGAGACGGTCAAACTCCTCGCTGAACGAGAGCGGGAGGCTGTACTTGAAAATCTCCCCAAACAAGCTCCGACCACGTGAGCGAAAAGATTTAGTCTTCAACAGGCTCCAGAGCTCTTCAAGAGCCCAACATTCGTTCATTTTCTAATCTAGATCCTCCATGGTGTCGGCTAGTAGAGCACTTCAGTCGTTTTGCCGACTGTGATATGTAAGCTAGGTATTTCGGACGCTACCATTTGGCAGATTATGACGACGGCATACGAAAGGCAAGGGAATCCTTTATAGACAGCCGATATTAATTCAACGACAGGCACCGTTCACTCTCGTATTCATCATCCTCTTCTCCCTCGCTTTCTCCGTTCGCACCAAACGACTCAGCCAATGGGTTGCCAGACTCGGAGTAGAAGTGACGCGGATAGTGTGTTACATTTTGCGAAGTACTTGCTTATCATGACCGCCACGACGGCCCCGCAAAGCTTCTTCGCCACCACATCGCCTGAAAGAATCCGCGCAGCAAGGGGGATGACAACTGCTGACCTGGCCATTGGCATCACAAATGCGAGATGCTAGCTTATGGGTAATGTCAGGCTGCAGATATATCCATGGTGTTTAATAGAACGTAGTACTATTCCTACTGTTACTGATAGTAACAATCTCTTAGCAGTTTAAACAAAAGTAAATTGCCTTCTGTTACTGTACAGTTAATAAGGCTTTAGTTACTGCAGTAACTGCCTATACTATTTATTTTAAGTACAGAATAGTAAAGTAACTCTTTACACTTAAAGCTTACAGCTAGTTTAACATGTTATAAGCTTTTATTATTTTAAGAAGTTAAAGGCTGCTTTTAGAAGCTTTTATAATTAAAGCTTTATTTTTTAGTGTTTTTATTTTTATAAGTTTCTTAAGAACTCTCTTACTTTAATAATATTAAGTAGAATAATATTTAGACTTGCAACCTCTAGCTAAAACCTAGGGGCCTTAGATATTATGTAAAGAGCTTAACACAACTATATTAGCAAAATTATGTTAAAATTAAGCCTACTAGAGCCTCTAGTAACACTAGTTACTGCAGTAACTGCACTAAATAGTAGCTTTACTATTAATTAACTTAGCAGTAACTATTACTGCTTATAAGGCTGTTTTAATTTACTCTTTCTAGAAGAACAAAACCCTATTGCTGCTAGTAACGCCTTAAAAACATTACTAACAGTAACAGTTACGTTCTACTAAACACTATAGATATACCTGCCTAAATTTGGCCCTACCTACTATATTTACTCTCTTAGCCTACCTTTTATCTGTCTTACTGCTGTTCATCCCCCCTTTCTTGCAGATAGATTCACTCAATGCAACAGCAATATCGGATACTATAATGCTAAATTGGTCATCTACGTTGGCGGCAATTTATTAAGCCCAGTCATATTTCTTACTCAATGCCACAGTCAACAACTTGTTAACCTTCGTGTTAGAACTGAGACTTCTACTACCGAGCGATGAGAATGCGCCCGAGAATAAGCAAAAGTAAGAGAATGGAGAATTGGAGGGCGGTATTACGGATGAGGAAGACATTGAAGAGGAACACGGTTGTATATAGAAATTACCGGACTTCATTGACGAAGAAACGTCTCTGATACCAAAGAGACTTGTTCAAGAAGCTAACTACGCAAAGTACGAAGGCCACAGAAAGGGCCATCAGTACTGGAATCGTTTTTCGTCTTGGAGCCGCGAGGTTCTGGATGCCGTCTACTCTTTTGTGAATGCGCCCTTGCTCGAAGCCACCACTAGGGGCTATGATTGCTCTCGTTCACTCCATGCATACGCTGTCGATGATATTTCGAGGGTGGACATTCTCATGCGTGGCTCACCGCCAGCATCAAGGATTTTGGCGACCTTGTGGTCTACTACAGCCTATCGTTGCTAGTAGAATGGGATAAACTCTCTACCCAGCGCTTCCAACGAGGCGTAGTACTGTACGATTGGGCGATTTTGAACCCTGTACGGGTGAGATTTTGTGTACTTTCGTACGACAGGGAGGAGGAGGGGTAGGTATACGTATCGTAACAGTCACGGCTCACGTGATCTGTACGAGTAGCATGATTTAATTGAAGTACGCTGTGTTCTAGTTAAAACAGCTAAGATTATAAGTCTCTAAAGACGCAGGATCAAGGTCTAAAAGCTTGCTACTCACTACCTGGTGCTGTAGCTAGTTCTTCTAGAGTTGAACAGCCTTAATTGTTAGTTATTATACAACTACCTGCGCTAAAACACCTCTCGCACTCGCAACTAGTAGCTGGGGTAGTAAGGAAATTAAGGCCAAAGTTAGCCTTACGCTCCCTTAGTAGGTGCTGAACAATATGGTTATAGCCATCCACCACCTTTGCAACGCACTAAGAGCCTTGCTTGTGACACTAGCAGCAGAGCCAGAGGCAGATTACCTTACCCTACCCCACTAGGAACCCTAAATTCGCGCCATGAGCCCACACATTTAACAGCGTGCGATTTCCTCGCAACGTCCTCGCAAAACTTTTGGCCAATCAGAGCCCTCCTACCCCTCTATAATTGCTATACAAACTTCCTAAAAGGGTAATAAAATCCATACTACGTACTGTACCTGGGGTATCATTAAACGTACGGTGCGGCTCACGAACTCTTTACGTTCGTACTGAACACGTGACCGTTACAGTTCACTTTATACAGACCATAGTATGGCCCTGTTGGAAGCACTGTCTCTACCCAAGATGAAGAAAGGGAGGAAGTAGGTCTGAGACATGGATTTGTATGACCTCCATCATTTTTATTACTTTTTTCGTTTGGAAATTATACGAGTCCACAGGGCCATAGCCAAGTCACGGCTAGCGAGGCATAGGATAAGCATTCTTTTGATTTTTTCACTCGTAACCAAGACGAGCATTCTCGAGGCGGACCTCATGCTCTGTCCAATCCTCCTACGTCAACTGGCTCTAGGACACGGAGTTCAGTACTAGAAGTCCTACTTAGAAGTATGGTGACAGAATCTCGAATATTCATAGTAAAAGATAACATTTGGACATTTGTGAGGTAGTAAACCCGGAGAAATAGTGGAGAGCTAACAATTCGTGGCTTGGGAGGGATCTTGAGCTCCTGTTCCAATGATGTGACTCGTTGGTGTAGAATTTCCTGAAGCGCGGGAGGGTAGGAGCCGGTGAGGGCTTCAAGGAGCCGGCTGAAATGAGAGAAATGGGGCGAATGGTAACGGTACCGCTATCAAGAGGGGCCATGGGAGGATTTTGGAGTGGAAATGGAAAATCCCGCTACGCTTGGAGGTTCGAAATGTGATCGGGACCATTGAAGGTGATGTACCTTTGCATTTGCAGCGCATCAGATTGTTCCTTGAATACGGCCCACAAGGTAGGTTACTCTTCACAATTTAAATTTTATCGTTTGCGCCCACTTCATGATGCGAGCTCGACTACGCTGACAGCATATTACCTCACATCAACCTCGCACGCATACACCGCTCCCTCATATATCTAGCAATTTCTACCCAAAATATGTCTGTCTAGCACGGCTTCGATGGCAAGTTGGCTCCGAAATATTCTCAGGACACGGTCTTGTAGGTTCTCTAGGACCACATCATCCTGACTTCCTCTCATCGATATCAGTCTCGACATCCTTCCTGACCAGTTTCCCACTCAGCGCCCTCGTGCGCTGTCGGCTCTGACCGAACAGAATCCAACTAACCAGCAAGTCCGATCGCTCCTATTCAGGCAACTTCCCCTTGAGCTTCGGCTTCTCATTTACGAATTCGCCCTTAGTAATCCCTCGGAGATAACTCACTTAATACAAGTGAAGAAGGGGTTTACGTATTGTAAATGCTATGATCAAACTCACAGCTGGTTCAACGGTTGCTGGGATCCGAGGTATGGGCCGCGCTCGACCAAGCGTTTTCTACGTCGTCAATCACAGTTGTTGTCCCTACCCCTCACATGTCACACAGTGTATGCAGTATTTTTAATTTTAGTAAGAGGACGTAGCTAAAAGCCTGAAGTTACCAAGAAGTCATAAACATTCCTTACTCCCACAATATCTTCAGCTTCTTGCTTCCGCGTGCCCTTCATTCATTCTCGCCGACCATTCTCCCCCAGCGATATTCCGCCATCTGACGCGTTCACATTTTCAACTTTCTCCCCACTGTATACCCAGGGCGAGTCCATGAGGTAGACCCCGAGGTGTGGGCCAGCCGTAACCGTAACTATTGGAAAACGTCGTGCGAGTTGCTCAGGAGCATGCCACACCTTCAGCAGTTACATGTGCAGCTCCGCGTGGACTTTTGGACTCGGTTCCTATTCCGCCCAGCTGTGGGTTTACGCCGCTGGATGTTAGTAGGGCTTGTGGATACCCCTTTCCGGGTTGTTTATGTGGCATTAACGAGTGGAAATTATGTAGATCTATTGAGATAAGAGCAATCTAGCAGGAATGAATGCAATTCCGAGGTACTGTGGCAATTTAGAGCTATGTGGAGGCAGGGCCTACATCTCAACATTCTTGCTACCAAAGTAGTGGTTTAAGGTTCGATGACCACAAGACTGAATGAAAGTTTCAGTACGCCTTGCAATTTCTATTACGGTTTCAAGCCTTGGAATCTTGCGGGTACTGCCCTCTAGTTAGTAAAGTCACGTGCCAAAGTCTACCCCGCACCCCGCAATTACTCACTGTAGAGCTAAAAACATAAAGTTAAATGTATTTTATCTGTTCTACCACGTCTCCCGCAAGACATCCATGAATTCATCTTCTCCCTTCACTATTACCCATTCACTCTTGACTACCCTTGAACAGCCCACACAGCCCACAAACCCCCAAACTCACCACCAATGGCCTCAACCCAACCCTCGCCCATTCTATGCCTCCCCGCCGAAATCCGCCTCTCAATCCTCGAACACACGCTCCCTAAACCCTTACACATCGTCTTCCGCCCTCCCACCCACACCTCCGGATTCTCCTCCTCCAACCCCAACAACCCTCGCGGCCTCTCCCTCGACGAAAACTACTCCTCCTCCTCCCACCTCTCCCTCCTTCTCACATGCCACCAATTCCGCTCCGACTTCACCCACCTCTTATTCTCTTCCACCCAATTCGTCGTCACAGACACGTACACCCCCCTACCGCGGCGACTAGAAGTACTACGACAATGCCAAATAGAAGCAATCCGGCACATCGCGTTTGTAGCCTCCGCGCGACAATTCCGTGACCTGGTGCACTGGACACAGCATCCCTTCAACCTCCCGAATCTGAAACTCGACACATTGGCAGTGGTGCTCCATCGTTCCGCACACTGGCACTACCCCTCCGACTTCACCGCTGACATGGTGTCTCTGCTGCGCCGACTCCAAAATGTTCGCTCCCTCTATTTCATCCGCAATGGCGCGAATGTAAAGGGTTTTTTTAAGACCTGGTATAACCGTCTGGTTGGGTTGGTGCTGAAGGAGGACCATTGGCAGAGGTATGATAACCCCCAGGGCCCATGCTTGGAGGAAGTATGGTGGGAGTGGGAGTTTGATGCAGGGGGGCAGTGGTTTAAGTTTAAGGCTAGGAAGCCTAGGCGGGTTGTGGGGGAAGAGGCGTATTTGGAGGGCGTGAAGGGGCTAGTGGAGGGGCTGATGAGGGAGATGGAGGGCGAGGAGGAGGATCCGGATCCTCGGGCTAGAAACGGGTGGGCTTAAAGGAGGAATTTTAGTAGAACGGGATTGCTGTACAGTATAGTACGAATTAGAGCCAGATTGGGGTAGACTAGACCTGTATTGATATGGTTAGTGGTATTTAATCTATGTCAGCTATACTCCATTCCGGCCAAATCTCTTCCTCCCGCGGTCTACTCGCTAGATTCCTATCATGTATATGTTCCTTCAGCGGTAAATCCCCAAACTGGCTCCGGTTGCCCATATCGACGCCCCTCTTCTGGATCGTCCTTGCATACGCCATTGTCTCCCTTTTCCATTCCTTCCTTGACACTTTCCCCGCAATCATATCCGCCAAGATCATCGCGTCAAATGCGGCCTGGCTCGTGCTTGCAACAGTATGTGGTCTGAACCCCGCGAGCGCATCGCCGATGAGAACAACTTTGCCGTCGAGGAACTCGTTCTGGGTGGAGATAACGTCTGTTATGGCCTGAACGAACGGTTTCTTGGTTCCACACACGATTTCTGCGAATTGTGGTGGAAGACATTCCTTCGCAATCTGCCGTTGCTTTTCCCACGCCTTGGGGTCGGTCTTCCCGGGCGGCATAGTGATCCGATGTCGTTCGCCATCCATGTCCGTCATCAACTCTGCGAGCTCCAGTGAGGGATCGTCGAGAGATTTCGAGGGGAAGTTTGTGTAGTACACGAAGTTGACGAGACGTTTGCCTGGTTCTAGCGTTCCATTCTCACCGGGAATGAGATATGCTAGGATTTGGATGCCTCTTGTATGGAAGAAGGTAAAGCGCTCGCTGAATGCTTCTAGCGTTGGTGGTGACACTTGGTCTTCCGGGACCGTTCCACGGAGCGCAACATAACCGGCGTATTTCCGCTCCACGTTAGGTTGAAGAATACTTCGGAGGGTGGAGCTAGGTCCATCGGCGCCGACAACGAAGTCTGCCGTGATGGTACCTTCTTTGCCTTCGTTAGTTGTATATGCAACTTCAACTCTTCCGTTCTTCTCCGTTATGCCCGTCACCCTGTGACCATGTAGATGCTTCGCCACGCCATCTCCCTCCCTCAGCTCCGGCACATTGCAATATGGGCTCTTCACGCCATCGAAATTCGCCCTCAGCATGTAATACACGAGATCCCAGCTCGTCATATTCTGAACCATGTCCTCCCTGTGCACAATCTTCCCCTCCTTGTCCAAGTATTGCCGTCGCTGCGAGGAAACTGCCAACTGCCGCCCACATCGGTCGTATCGCTTGAAGAATGTGAGGGTATCGCCGCCCGCGACAATGCCAGCGCCCTGGTTGTGCAGGAGGGCCGTGGGATTGCGCTCGAGGATCGTGACAGCATGGCCGAGGGATTTGAGGGCTAGACCAGTGCAGAGGCCACCTAGGGAGCCGCCGACCTAGGAAGTTGGAGTTGGCATAGGGTTTGAAATGGAGCAGGGTGGGTTGGGCATACCACGACGATGTCGAGCTTCTTGTCCACACCATTCGGAACCCCGCTGGTATGCGACGCTATTGCAGACATGGCGGGAGTACTTTCACCCTCCGCCAAATTCCTTGATGTGTCGATGTGGATCGTCAACAGCCATGGTCACGGGCAACGGCACTTTAATCAAGGGCGCAGGATGAAAGGAAGCGGGTCCGTACTGTCGACGGGAATGCTGCACGACACAAGGATTCGACCACATCGTGGGGCTATTCCCGAAGGATACCCCACACACGTGATCTGACCCTCAACTTCGTGTCCATGTGGAACGTCAGCTGTAAGCTTACTAAACCCCCATGGGACGTCTATCGAGCATCTGCAAAAACTCGTTATGATACACCTTCCCTGTGAGAAGGAGTTTGGGTTGGAATAGACCGAACTGCTCGGCGAAATGGTTTCCGATCACCGAGGCCTCGTTGCGGTATGGCCCTCGGACAGGTTCACGGAGGTTGAGTAGCTGAGATTGTCATTAGATAACGGGCGCTAATGGAACAATCGGATACAATTCAGTTCTGCATGCTCTGCGTACTGGATACCGCGTGCGATGTATCGTACGGAGAGAAGATGCCATTGGTTACATCAAAGCCGGCCCTTCGCTCCAGCTGTACGCGGATAGGATCGAGTATGCGATTGTCCCTGACAACACCATTCCTGGGGCGTACGATGAAGCTGTTCAGGGGGCCAAGTATGTCATTCACATAGCCGGGGTGTGGCCGAAGCCCGTACGTCTTATTCCATTCGATTAGCGAATCTTAGAGTAGAACTGATACCTGTCGATCTAAGCATTACCGCCCAGACGAAGATGTCTACTACCCCTTCGTCAGATCAATGGAAGAGATCCTCTCTGCCGCCGAGAAATCTGACACCGTCAAACGCGTCGTGTTTACGCAAGCTGGCGCTGCCCTCGTCAGCACCGACGATGGTGACACTTTGGGGACGAAAATGGACAAAGTTCTTGACGGTATCTCTCGTCAAAATCCTCCTCAGCCGTTCAAAGCTGATGAACAAACAACAGAACATGTGCAAGTAAATCCCGATGCAGCAGCCTTCCAACCACCCCTCCCATCCGTGCACCACGCCTACTCGGGCGCCAAAGCCTACTGTATGACATATCTCCATTCACATAGCCGCAAGTCGGGCGCCTTCTCCATCGTGCAAGTCATCCCTGGGACCGTCATTGGACCCTCAGAGTTAGTTTCGTCGGCTTCCGATGCCCTCGCGCAAATGGATCGCATGTCGAAGGCGCTGCTGTTCAATGGTGCAACACCCAGATACGGATTCGGATTCGTGCATGTTGAAGATTGCGCACGCGTTCATGTTGAAGCTCTTGACGAAGAGAAGGTCCAGGGGGAGGATATCCCGGATTGGTTTATTGCTGCTGCGACGATGGAAGAGGGAAAGGATGGGCCCCGGATTTGGAAGGAGGCCGGCGACACGGTGGAGCGGGAATTTGCGGAGGAAATGCGAAATGGTGTTTTCATAGTGGGTAGAGAGAATTTGCCCACCAACATGCCATTTCGAGTAGATTCAAGGATGACGGAAGAAATGTTGCTGGGTGGAAGAAAGTTCAGAAGCCTGGAGGAGTGTGTGAGGGAGGTAGGACAGTGGTATTCGGGATTAGTTCAAAATGAGAAGAACTGATATCATCCCTGTTTCCTGCGATGTAAAATAGTAATAGTGAGAATAGTGAGCGTGGCCATTTAAGGTCGCGTGGTGGCTGACCCAACGGTGGGCGGCCGCTGGCGGCCGATGTACGACGGACGAATGTCTCGTCCGCATTCCGATGACGACACTCTATTAGAGAGAATTGTGATTCTTAGTTGTATGGTAGTCGTTAAGCACGTAAGGAGCGACCTGGCAATCGGAAGAAGTGTTGCACCGACTTTCTAATTAGATGTTGAGCAAAACAGGTGTTTCATGGCCAACTGACGTAAGCTTGCGCTCACCTAGGGCCCGGCATTGAATGTTTTGCCCCATGGCTGCGGTCCAGGAGTACAACATGTTGACATTTCCAACAAGAAACCACGAGAAGCGAGAAAATTGACGAATGAAGAAGCCAAAATGACATGTCTCTGCACTTGATCTACGGGCCAAATCGTTATCCGACCCACGGCGCATCAGTGTATTTGATTAGTTAGTCTGATCACTCTACTGATACAGGTATCTCAGATATTTTCCACAGCAAACGAATCCCTGGCAATGTGATCAGACAAAGCCCTATGCAATTGATATAATGGCGTAATAGCTTGCAAATGGATCGGCGTAACCTCAGCAGCAATACGCATCCACACGTTAGGGACGCGACATCTTCTTTCCGAACCAAGACTATAAAAGGAGGGTGTTGTCACCAAAGCTACCCACCAGCACATACACAACCTCTCCAACTCCATGAAAGCACTCAAGATCCAGTCCCCCGGCCACGCCGCCGTAGTCGAAACCAACATCCCCAGGCTCCGCACTCCCTCAGACCTCCTCATCAAAACCGTTGCTGTTGCCCTCAATCCCAGCGACTGGAAGCATATCGACTTCGTTGACAAGCCTGCCACCGTCGGTTGCGACTACTCCGGTGTCGTCGAAGAGATCGGGTCCGCTGTCACTCTCCCTTTCAAGAAGGGTGATCGAGTATGGGGTTGCGTGCATGGAAGTAATGTGCTTGATCTCGATAGTGGATGTTTCGGGGAATATGTGGTTTCCAAAGCGGATCTAGTCTTCCGAATCCCTGAAAATATGGGCTTCGAAGAAGCAGCAACGTTGGGAGTGGGTATAGTTACCGTGGGTCAGGGACTGTATCAGGCTATGGGATTGCCATGGCCGGATTCCCCACTTAAGGAGAAGGTGCCGATTCTGATATATGGTGGATCATCTGCCATGGGAGCCTTTGGAATCCAGTTTGCAAAGTTGTAGGTATTGCCTGACTCTTGCACACTCTAAACTAATCGAGACGCAGGTCTGGGTTCGAGGTCATCACAACCTGCTCCCAACGCAACTTCGAATACGTCAAATCGCTGGGGGCTGATGTAGTTTTCGACTACAAGTCCCCCAGTTGTGGAGCCGACATCCGCAATTACACAAACGACAAGCTATACTACGCTTGGGACACCATCGGCGAAGGAAATGCTCCGCAGATTTGTGGGGATGCCCTTGCATCATCTGCTCCTAAGGGCCAGAAGTTGTACTATGGGACCATCGTGTTCGTCCCTCAGTCGCCCCGACCCGATGTCGAAATGCTCTTTACGATAGGGTATTCCGCACAGGGCGAGTCATTCGAGTTAATGGGCATGAAGTTTGCGGGGAAGCCCGAAGATTATGAGTTCATGAAAAAGTGGATAGCGGAAGCTGAGAAATTATTGTTCGAAGGGAAACTAAGGGCCCACAAGCCAGACGTGAGACCTGGTGGTTTGGATGGAATTTTAACTGGCTTGAAGGATATGAAGAATGGGAAGATCAGTGGAGTTAAAGTCGTTTATCGGGTCGGCGATCCTTGAGAGAGTAGAGGGAGGTTGTCGTTGACCAAGCCCGAACATCTTAATGCCAGCGTCCTTTTTGTCTAAGCATAGATCTTTTCTGTGATTACTAGCACTTATGAACCCGCTGTCGTGATCGTGAAGCAAGCCATCTAAACGTCGCGCATTGCAGCTCGCCTAATGTTATGATGGCATGGCAATATTTCGAAACAGATCCGTCCACGACAAAATGTCCTTCAAATCATCTGCAAGATATTCTGTTAGCATGAGCTAGGTGGGTGGAGAATTGGTCGATACTCACAGCAAACCTGAGCGAATCGATCGCGTCCAGTCATGATTTCTCGGGTGGTATGCACTATGGAAATTCTTCAGATAGCTTCCAGCAGACTGGAAAATAATATTTCGAGAGGGCATCTTGAATGAGGCAATTTGCCATTTATTTCCCTCAAAGAGAAAGCAGAACAGATTAGGGGCTTTAGACGGGAGCAAAGCGGGATCCCAAATTGTTGGATTGTACGGAGTAGTGTTGACCAAATCAAGACATTCGAAAAATCACAAGTCAAGCGCCGAGGCCAAATATCCGTCCAGGGCCAATCGAAGGCAATGCCGAAATGCTTCACGATGGGGCTGAAGCTCTAGGCTGAAGACATTCGGCGAGGAGAATCACCGCTTACTGTGGGGATGGCAGAGCCGCATGAAGCTGAAGGCTGGAATATCCTCTTGGAGAGGCACAAGGGAACTGCATTCTACTTCGGACAAGCGTGTCGAGTTTCAAGACAATTTGGCGTGCTGAAGAAGAGTCGCGGCTTGCCGGATTAAGAATAGGTTGGACGCCTTACTGATCAACTCACCGCCAACCTTTCTCCTGAGATCTTTCACCGCAATATCTCAACAAACCAACCACTTCCACGACAACTTTGCGAAAGTGCAGCAAAGGGACTTGACGACTCTCTTTGCAGTGTGGCTGCAGAAAGGTACAAAGATAGGTACTCGGGCCTGTCAAGCCTCGCGCTGAGCCACGCTTGCGGTCCGGCTTGCCCTGCTTCCCGACCCTGGCCCGCACAATCTAAGCTTAAATCTTCGTATCCCTAGTCTAGTAAGGCTGCATGAAGCTTCGAGACCTAGAGCCAAGACAAAAGGTCACCGCCCGGTGCGGCGTTCCCGATCAAAAAATCTGGGGAGGCTCTTGTCTGTCGTGCGACGATGCAAGCCGAGGTCGGGATGCCTTCGTGGGCTTCCCTTCTAAGTTCGAAGAAACAGAGGTCTCAAAAAGTACCCACAACTCATTCATCCCGCAATTTCTATCAATTCGTATGTCTCAGCTATCTCACGGCTTTTGCATCACAATAATTTCAGAGCGGCAAGATCTTTTCAGATGCAGTCAATGGAGAGTTCCGTCCACGCCCAAACAGCATGTCATTTGAAAGTTGTGTGTTGAAATCCTTGCATGTTGCATGCCAAGGCAGCTGGCTCTCAACGTTGAAGCTGAGGCGCCGCATGCTTCTCGAAATAATACCCTTCTTGGGTTACCTGAGACTCCCGCCGGGGCGGGTTTGAGGTCGGTTGTTCGCCGACCTTCTGCATGTCCCCTCACAAGGCTGTTACCCCTGCCTGGCACCGATCCTGTCCTTCGTATCGTCATTTGTTGGAAGGGTCTTGGCATGCACTGCTGCGGTTGGTGGCTGGGCTCTCCAGCTCGAGATGTAACGGGAAGGTAGCGTTGACAGGCTTCACGATGAATGGGGGAGTGGAGGCTTTGTTGCGATGCTCTAGGATATAAAGCTCAGTAGAAGTACAGCAGTTCTCATCAGCACAACAGCAACAATTTCATCTTCTCTTCCAGTCTTCCGGCGTTCCTCTCTCATCGGTTCCCTCATTCGTCCTTGCATCAGAATAAACTCATTATCTCACTTTTCGCTTTTCCAACTTTTCGACTTTTTCCCACCTTTTCCAACCACCACAGTCAACATGAAGGTCACCGGCTCCACCATTCTCTTCACTTCCGCCCTTGCGGCCACTGGCACTGCAGCTCTGTCCACTTCCTCAACCTACCAGCTCCGCGTCTCCAGCTCCGCCAATACTGCCATTAATGGCGGTTTCATTGCAGTTAAAGATACCGGCGTAACGACCTCTCCCAATCCTATGGGCCTCTGGCTCACTGACCGCAAAGCTCGCGACCCTTACCAATTTAAGCTCGCCACCTCGCCCTCCGACTCTCGGCTTTATCAAATCCTGGGCACCCTAAAGCAGACTCACCTAGTGCTCTATGGGGATAAAGTTGCTATGGGCTTGTTCGATATCCCGATAGGGTCCAAAGTCGAGGTAAAGGATGGAGAGGCCACGTTCGACGACAAATTCACCACATTGGGACAGCAGGGTGCAACAACGCTCCGGCATGGCCAGGACTTCAATTCTTCCGGAACCGACATTCCAACTGGTGGCGCGGGGAGCTGGAGGGCTTGTAAGGGGGATACTGTTAACGACTACCAGCTCTACTGGTATGATGGTACGTCTACACTCATCATAATACGCGAATAACTTGAGTGAAAGTCCACTAACACAGTAAACAGGAAGCTCTCCTCTCCCTATCAAGAACTGCGAAGGCATCTCCCTTGACCTTGTCGAGTCTACGCCCTCTCCTGCTTCTTCGGGGGGCCCCTTCTTGACCGGTGTCACTTCTCCTACCGCCACGGGCAGCTTCTTGACTGGTGTCACTGCCCCTACCGCTACCGGACGAGCCAATTCCAGCGGCATTGTCTCACCTACGCCTTCGTCTCCTGCCCAGGGTGGCGCTGGATCCCACGTCTCTGAGATCACCGGTCTGATGAGCATTGTCTTTGGTGTCTTGGCCTTCGCTTTCTAGTTGGAATACATAGTGATAAGAAAATGAATGTACATAAATGCCGGTGAAGGTCGGGAATAGGGATATGATTGAAAGAGCATTTCAAGCGGGGTTTTAGCGGCGTGGGATTCTTTCTTCGTTTTGACTGTTTTCATTTGGGACAAGGTTTTGGTGTCCATAATATACCTTCACTACAATCGTTGTACATAGATTTTTGCATCAAATGGAGTCTGGGTTGCGCACATTTTTGCCTACATTGAGTCTTTGTGAAGTGAGCTACGCGATTGCCACATTGTTCTTGTCTAGTCTTGTTCAATTTCGACCTCCACTACTATTAGCATGTCTCAGTCAAGTATTAGAACGACAGCTCGTCTGCGCTCAAGGCTCTCAAATTGCATTGGATGATATGGTACCTGCGTAACCAAGTGATTATCGATACAGGAGCCCATCAGCCCCTACTGCCTATAAGGAACCACAAAACTTCGTCATTCCACGTATATTTCCTTTCCGCTCGGACTTTTTAAAGCGGGTTCTGAGTGAATTATTCACTTATGCTTTTGCAACTCTTGCAAATGATCCGATGAGTCAACTAACCTCCGGATTTCTACTTATTAGGGGCACGTTCATTATCGTAAAGTTCAGAAATCCCTATTGTCGCGAAATACAGGTACATTCCTGGATGAGGGGGAGTTCATCTTCGCAAATGGACAACGAACGCATTTGCACATCCCATGGACGATGAAACCACCATGGTGTTTAATAGAACATAACTGTTACTGTTAGTAGTGTTTTTAAGGCGTTACTAGCAGCAATAAGGTTTTGTTCTTATAGAAAGAGTAAATTAAAATAGCCTTATAGGCAGTAACAGTTACTACTAAGTTAATTAATAGTAAAGTTACTGTTTAGTGCAGTTACTGCAGTAACTAGTGTTACTAGAGGCTCTAGAGGGCTTAATTTTAACATAATCTTACTAATATGCTCTTTACATAATATCTAAGGCCCCTAGGTTTTAGCTAGAGGTCGCAAGTCTAGATATTGTCCTACTTAGTGTTATTAAGGTAAGAGTCCTTAGGAAACTTATAAGAATAGAAACACTAAAGGATAAAGCCTTAATTATAAAAGCTTCTAGAGGCAGCCTTTAACTTCTTAAGATAATAAGAGCTTATAAAGTGTTAAACTAGCTGTAAGCTTTAAGTGTAAGGAGTTACTTTACTATTCTGTACTAACAATAGATAGTATAGGCAGTTACTGCAGTAACTATAGCCTTATTAACTGTACAGTAACAGAAGGCAATTTACTTTTGTTCTAACTGCTAAGAGATTGTTACTATTAGTAACAGTAGGAGCAGTACTA